CCCCCACCCCACCCCCTCACCCCCATCCACCTCCCACAACAGCAACAACAATGGACGACACAATCACCACCACAGGCACCACCACCACCGTCGGTCCCCTCCCACCCACCACCGGCCCCCACAACCGCGGCGGCATCGGCTCCTCCACCTCCATGACCGCTCCCCCCGGCATCGACTCTCCCTCCGGCATAACCTCCGAGTCCTCCCTGACCCCCGTCGCCCCCGTCTCCGGTGACGCTCGCACCTCCAAAGCCGTCAATAGTCGGCGCTTCTCCGGCTCCTCGTCCACCGGCAGAACAGGCGGCACGGGCATCGGCCACGGCGGCATGCGCAAGTGGGGCGCTGATCCTGCGCAGTCTATGAGTCGCATGGGAACAGGGGCGAGGGATACCAGTGATAGCAAGTTGATTGATGATAGTACTAAGCTTTTCCCTTCTACTTCTTCTTCTACTGGTGGGGAGATGGGCTTCAGTGGTGGTATCAGTGGTATCGGTGCGGGAGAGGGAGAGGGAAATGTGTTTAGGAATGAGCGGAATGCTAGTATTAGCAGTACTAGTAGCACGGGAAGTGATCGGTTGATGGGGCCGGCTAGTGCGGTTACTGAGTATCCGCATCCTAGACGGGTGAGTTTTTTTTTCTGTTTCTTTTTTGGCTTTCCCCTTGGTGCTCACCTACCTACCTACCTACCAACCTACCTACCTACCTTGATCGGTGGTTCATGGCTGGGTTGGTTGGTTATGATGTCTGAGGTCTGGTTGGGTGAGGCTGAGGCTGAGGTAGAGGAGAGAACATGTGGGCTAACTGTGAGACGAAAAATAGTCATCCCACGGCCTCTTCGAAGGCTTAACCGCCCAGAAGAGACGCAACGACCCGGCTAGTGTCGCGCGCAGACAGAGCTTGAGCGAGCAGAGGCCGTCTACTGGGTTCATTGCTAAGATGTGGGATAAGTATGTTCATCTCTCCTCTTTCTTCTCCTTTCCGATCGTCCCTTTCAGATCGTGCCTTCAGATCGTGCCTATTTTGTCGTTAGATGCTGACTTTGTGTAACACCTAGCTGGGTACGCGGCGTCCCTCCTGACATCTAAACGACTCGCCTTTTCAGTTCTCGCCGACATGCTTTTACAACAAACAAGAAGAAAATACCAATTGGGGGGGCGGGGAAAAATCAAATTGTATGAACCAAGAATCGTCGGGACATACTTGTACGAAGGGTGGGCATGGTACAGGGTGTGATATGCATCAATGACGATGGGAAGTCTGGTCGGATGGGTGGTTGTTGTAAGTCGTACTGGCTAGTCTATTGTTACATATTCCTTTTTGTCCGTATGTCAGTCTCGGTTCATGGGGTTTCGTTTTGTCGGGCTGTCTCAGTTAGGACCTTTTCACTTCTGTAACGATGTAACGATTAATGGTAGTAGTAGTAAAAACGAGCAAAAAAAGATTGTATATTGCTTTGATTTTGAGCTCCTTTGGATTTGTGCCCTGTTTAGTAGGTAACTACCCGAAATACATCATGTTTACTTTGTGAGACAGACGTGGGTACGTAAACACTTAGCTCTACCATAAAGTAAACCAACCCACTCAAAAAGGACTGTAACTAAAGACCAAAAAGAACATTTGCCTTGAAATTGACTCTTTTGACGCGCAACTCTGACCAAGTTTCTGTTCTAGAACCTCATCACTTGTAGACGGAGGGAGTGCACTATATATCGGGGTTATATACCAACTCTGGAGGCAGACTTTGTCCGGAATTAGATGGCTGTCGTTTGACCGAATAAGCCGCAACCAAAGATCATATCACATCATATCACGAAGACGAGCCAAAAGGTCAAGGGCAACCACCCCTGATATTTTCTGTTCAAAGCCAAAACTAACACGCACTCTTCTCAGACACAGTCATTATACATCCCCTTTCGTCCCAGCACCAGAGCCTCCTCCACATAAGCATCGACAGAAAACAAAAACTTATTGCCAGATTAAAGAAAGGAAAAGCGACTCCAGACACACACAAAAACCCCCCCCCCCCCCCCCCCCCAATGCCACATGAACATCCCCAGCCATGAAGTAACGAACGGTCCAAGGATCGACCACCAGCTCCAGTAAGGCTCATCTCAACCACCAAAGGACCTCAAACCCCTTCAAGAGGTAACTTAAGGGGTGGTAACAGTGACACCCCCACCGATGCCACCGCTGATGGCACCACCAGTCAAGCCACCAAGGAGCGACGTGACCAAGTCCAACACAGCCGAGACCAAGTCCAACACAGCCGAGACCAAGTCCCTGACAAGGCTCAAAGGCTGGCCTGAAGAAACGCTACCAAACAACTGCTCGAGCAGCTCAGGGGTGAGGATACCAGTGAGGCCGCTCAGATCACCAAGCGGCAGAGCAGTGAGACCACCACCAGTCAAGCCACCAAGGAGGTTGCTAAGGTTAGCCAAGTCGGTGAGGCTACCGAGCTTAATGCCGCCAACAGTGCCGCTGCCGGACCCAGCACCACCACCAAGCGGGCCAGTAACAGTGCTCAAAAAGCTAGTCAGGAGACCGGTAAAACCAGTAAGTCCACCAAGAGCAGGTAGTCCGCTAAGACCGCCGCCGGTCAAACCACCGAGAGCATCAAGTCCTCCGAGACCACCGAGACCACCGCCAGCGACGCCCCAGCCGGGGTAGATCATAGCCTTGTTGTTGGCCTTGACGCGGGTAGTCCCCTGCTGGATAGCCTTAGTAGTATTTCCCAGAAGCTGCACAAGAAGGCCGCTGATGCCCTGGGGATCCTTGATATCGATCTTCTTGAGGTCGTCCTGGGCGCCCTTGACGATGACGCCAATGGAGGAGACGACTCGGTCGAGATCGGTGAGTGTGACGGAGGGGACAGCGCCGGAGGAAGGAGGGAGAGCGAGGGTACCGGCTGTGTTGGGCGGGGTTTGGCGCTTGCTGCGTTGGCGCATGTCCATGTTGGTCATGTTCTCGGCGGCCTCCATGGTGTTGGCTTTGGCCATCTCGAGGTTGTTCTTGAGGGATTCGGCGTTGATGTGAGCGACGGCGTGGCCCTGGGACATTTGGTTGGCGGCCATCATGGGCACGGCGAGGGAGGAGCCGGTCATGGCGATGGAGAGGGTGGCGGTGAGGGCGATGGACTTCATCTTGAATGAGTGAATGAAGTTGTTAAAGTGAGTGTGTGTTTGTGATCTGTTAACGATTGGTTTGGCTTTGGTAGGAGAAAGCGAAGTCCTGAAGATGAAGACCGGTGGAGGAGATGAAGGCTGGTGGTGAGGAAGAAAAGAATTAGCTCTCAGGCTGGTCAGATCTGGGGATAGTTATAGGTTGAGTTTCTCCATGTTGTTGTTGTTCTTGTCGCCTTCCTCCAGTGTTTTGTTGGTATTGACCGGATGTCATCTTCCCGGCCATTGCTTGGTGTGTTGCTGCTATGCCACGACACGCCAACTGGAATCCCACGCCTCGTGGTGGGAGATTGTGATGAATATGGTTTGTAGTAGGAAAAGGTATGCGTTTCTGTAACGTGCCAGCAGAACTTGGTGGTGGGTGTGGTTAGGAATGAGGGTGGCGGCTATGTTTTAGGCCTCCCTCCCTCCCGGTGCCCTCCGGCAACCTCCGGCGTGTAGCTCCGACGATGGGTGAGGGAAGGCCGGTTATCGCGGCTTGCTCTCTGCCATAAGAAAGCTCTCTCGGCTTGGTGAGCGCTTGCTCAATTGCCCAATGTTGGAATGCCCTCAGTTGCGACCGAGTGTCCTGGTTGTGTCGATGACCTCGTGAAGTTCTCGATCTTGGTAGTCAAGGTGGTGAAACACCAGTGCCGAATCCAGTTCATTCCTCCCTTTTGCCCAGACCAAATAGTCGCAATCCACTTCTTGACAACCAGCGAGTCCTCTGTCTATCTCCCGCATAGTGCTAATCGCAGCATTCAAGTCCATAACCTCCAAGTTTACTACCACCACCGCGTTGCATCGTGGGCGTTATCGCTGTCGTCACTGTCGTTGAGTTGATTGAAGCTGCGATGCAAATGGTGATTATTAGTTCTTAATATTGAAGCGAATATGTAACCCTCCGTATCTATAAGTGTGGTGTTGTCGCTGTCGTGGTTGATGAAAGTGGTGGTGGTGATGATGGTTGGAAGAAGAAATTGGGAGTTTTGGACGTCGGACGTCTCTGGCTTCTTTACTTCATCAATCCCAATTTGTTCCCCTTCTCTCTTTACTTCTCTCTCTCCTCCTCTTTCTCCTTTAGTTTTCTCTCTATCTCTCCTCGTCACTGCACCCCACCTTCCTTTTCTCAGGTAAGTACGTATCCACCGTGACTTCCTACACTACAATAGGAGTTTTTCATCACCAAGCACCCGTCTCACTTGTAAGGTACGACGAGTGGAACACCTGGAGAATCCAACACCAACACCTAGAAAATTATCCCGGTCTGCTTAGAAGAGTCAGTTTAACTTCTTCCCGTCTGCGCTTCACACGTACGGCAGCGCGCAAGACTAGGTACCTGCAGTCTAGTATATGATGTTTCCGTCAGTTGATCATTAGTCATAAGACCACCCATCTCACGCTAACGACTTACCTACTCGAAGTAGTAGCAAAAACAACCCAACAAGAAAGTCCACCACGCCTCGTATTGGTCAGTCAGAAGAGCCCCTCGCAAGATTACCACATTGATTACCACAACAAAGTAGAAATACATCGGACGAACAGAGCCCATCTGGGATTGACAAGTCTTGAAGATGCTTAGAGGCTGGGTTTTGCTGGAAGTAGTAGCAAAAACAACCAAACAAGAAAGTCCACCACGCCTCGCTTTGGCCCGCAAAACCCATCGCAAAGCTACAATAGGGATGACACCGCACCGAAAATATATTGGACAGTCAGTCCATCATCGATTCTCCAATCTAGAAGATGTCTAGCGGAGAGGCTGGGTTTGAACGAATAAGAGACACGATTGAACGTATACAGTGCCATACTGACCGTGACATACCTTATGATGTTAGGTTTATTTCCACACGACTCCTTTGGTATGTTCCTAGGAACCTTCAGTCCAGTTGAGTTCGGTTCACTCTCTCACGATTTACGATGGAAAAAGAGCAATGCTCATTCGTGGCTTAGTAGTTGACAAGATCACACATTCTCCATTTGACGACCTACCTATGGTACAATAAAAGAGCCACCGGTTTTATAGCTAGGAACCGAGGTCAGTGGAGGCTCGCTTGTCGTTTATTTGGGCCTTGTTTCTATCTTCTCTTTTTTTTAAAAAAAATTCTTTTTTTCTTGTATTTCTGAAACTCACAGACATCGGCAGCGGCGATGCTCAATAGATCAGAAATCCCGGAATCGTAACTTCTCAGTGAAAACCGAGACTTTAGCCTCCAGTTCACCAGATCAGTCACATAGATTAATCGCGAAAGATTCGAAGACAGTCACCTCACCTCACCTCACCGACCAAGCCTGTAACAACTCTCTTTACCTATAGTCCTGGTCATCATATGCAAACCAAACCATATCATAAAAAAACATTCACCTACGCTCCGGATATGGGCGCAAAGCGACAGCATGCCCCAAAGTAGTTGCCGAAGCAGGTGGACAAACGTCAAACGGTCGGTCGATCAAAAACCTAGAAGCAGAGACAAACCCTGTCAGCAGTTCCGAGAGCCTATCGGGATGTGCACTCAGGGCACTGCACACGTCTGTGAGATGTCGGGAAGGCGGGCGGGTAGCTGCATATGTTTGACGATGAGACTGGAGAGTTGGCGGGATGAGAGACAAACAACGAATGGAAGACGATGGGACGAGTGGAAGGAAAAGAGACAAGCTTCGAGTTAGACATTTCTGGAGCAGGGCACACGAGGGTGAGTGTTCAAGAGATAGGTAAAAAGAAGGGAACAGCGTCATTATGATGACTAGAGTAGATGGTGCAAAAACAACAGACAGACGGAGATGCCAGTGTCCGGTGGCCACAACCATGTCCTGATTGTTCATAAGTGGGACCCAAACGCGGAGTAGAATTAAAAACTGCAAATTACCGTTCTTGTTCCAAAGTCGCTGCTGTATCTCCCAGGTCCACACACACTTAATCCCGAAGACCAAAGACGACGAACTATCCGCTTAACGCCACGTTCCCAGCACCTGGTATTTTATAAGATCGATATAAGAGGCTCGAGACATAAAACTAAAACGAAATTCCGAGGCGAATTCTATGGGGTGAATTAGATTATCGTCGGAAATCATCCTATGACCGGTGCTTTTCGCTTTCTGTTGAAGTGAGAATATCTGATTAGTGTTTGGGTTGCTGAGAGTCACGGGCGTTATTCTGAAGCTCACCCAGACGCTGGTAGAGTAAGTAGAGAGCCATGCGGTTGCACTCCTCTGTACCGGTAATGGTGACGAGACGCTCGTTGCTGTTGTCCTGCGGCTCATTAATCTTGATGACACTGCCAGAGATCTGTCTGATCTCGTTGATCTTCTGTCCACCCTTGCCAATGATTGCGCCAACCATGTCGTTAGGAATGTAAATCTGTTGAGTAAGAGCAGCGCCGGCAACGGGGGCGCCATGAGGGCCAGCAGGATGGGGACCTGGGCCGGCGTGGCCGACATGGGGCGCAACGTGAGGGGCGGCAGCACCGTAACCAGCGGCGGCGTGGCCACCGTAGTGCATGGGGGACGGCAGGGTTGGGCTGGGCCGGATGAGGTGCACCATAGGGCGCAGCGTACTGGCTGGGCGGCATGCCGTGCTGGGACCTGGGGTCGGGGCCGCGGTTGCGCTGGTAGTAATCGCGGTTGCCAAAGCTGCCGCCAGCAGGCTGAGGAACGTAGGGGACGACCTGCAGTCCACCGGGAACAGAAGCAGCGGGGGCCTCCGGCTACGGGTGGGCATAGGCTGAGGCGGCGGGACCACCGAAGCGCTCGTTCAGCTGCTCGAGGAGAGTGCTGCCAACATAGTAAGTAGCAATGTGGACAGCATCGGCAACGCCCATGACGACCAATGAACGCTCAGTGGAAAGGGGCAAGCAGGAGTCGGAAGCATTGAGACGAGCTCCGGAGGCCTCCTGAATCTCCTTGATGCGCGCACCGCCCTTACCAATGATAGAGCCGATCAAGACGTGAGGGATCAAAAGACGCAGGGGATAGGTCTTCGAGTGTGTGTTGGAAGGCTCAGCAAGAGGCTCATTGTTCAGCGTACGGATAATAAGACCGAATGCCTAGGATTGTTAGCTAGTGAACTTGTAAGGAAAACAGAGGAACAGCATACCTTTGCGACCGCATCAACAACACCGCTAACAGTGAGAATACGTTCGACAGCGCCCTTCTGATAATCGCTGACGGTGCACTTGGCGTTCGACATCTCCCTGATTTTGGAAACGTTCTCGCCGCCCTTTCCAATGATGGTAGCGGCCTCGGGGCTCGAAATAACAGATCTCACATGGATCCAGGCAGTCTCGTCGTGAGGCTGAGCAGAGACGGGGGGTTGAGCGCGGCTGCGGGGACCGTGCTCCTTGGTTGTCTTGCTCTCGGGGGCATCAGGGACGACAGTGTCGCCCTGGGCATCTTGAGCCTCAGGCTTGTCTCCCTTCGCGTTGGTACCGTTAGACTCGGGGGCGGGGGTAGGAGTAGCGGAGCCAGCAGTCTCGTCGGCATTGTGACTGTCTTCGAGAGCAGGAGTCTCGACCTCCTCTTGGGCGTCCTTAACGACCTTGTCGAGAGCGAGCCTCTTGGCCTCGGGCTGGTCGTTGCGAGAGGGAGAAGAGGACTCCTCCAGGGGCCGCTTAGCGGACTGAGTGGGTTGTGGTGACGCGGACATGTTTGCGAGCTAGAAGTCAGGTAGATATCACGTCTCGATTAAGTCGTGGTCGCGCGAGATGAATATTCTTCTTGAATTATCGAACTTGTTTTTATCTACACCTTGGGGGTTTTCGAAGGAAAACGTGCTGGTGTAGTGTGAGGGTGCGGTTGACAAGGGGTCGGGACTGCGCTCTCAGGGTGTTGGATTTGGAGTAGTAGTTGCTCGTGGGAGGGGCCGATCAAAGGGAGATCGACGGGAGACGGAGACCGGTGCTGGTGCTGGTGCTCGTTGAGAGTGGGAGGAAGGTAGGCCTATCGCTGGATTGCTTTTGTCTTGCAGTGTTGGTGATGCCTTGTCCGGGGAGTAGTGGTGGTGATGTTTATGCGGCAAGGGCGAACGCAAAGAGTAGGTAGTAGAGGCGGGTTGAGCAAGGAAGAAGGTGAGTGAGGTAGAAGAGTGGTGGATGTGATGATTGCTTTTTGTTTGGTAACGGAAGAGAGAAGCACTTCTGGTATCTCAAACCTTCTTTCGCTTGTCAAGCACTGGAGACTAAACACGCCAGCCTTTTTCTGCTAGTCCAGGGTATCCGAGATCCGGCTGCAGCTACCGATAGCAAATCGTGGATTTGACCGGGATTTGAGGTAAAGGTTTCGATCCGGGTGGTGGTAGAGGAAGGGACCGAGACCTGTGATCAGGTGGATGGAGGAGTGCGGTAGGCGGTCGGCTTCTTCTTTTCGACGACGTGGTGATACTGCGGGTGGTTGTGGCAAAGGAGAAAACCAACAAGCGGGCAGAGTCTTGAAGAAAAAAAGTGATCGGATGGCTCAAGTCAACAAGATTGACGAGATTGAGACACGACCGGGAGTGGGAAAGAAGAAGAGGAGACGACGACGACGAGGGGTGTGGTCGAGGAAAGAAAGGGTTGCCAGGTGGTGAGTGGCTGTTGGGGGGAGAAAGTGGAAGTCCAGTGGAAGTGGAAGTGGATGTCTCGAAAGAGGTTTGGAATTGTGGAGAGGAAGGAGATGGGTGATGAAACCTCAGCAGGATCAGCACCGGCCGTAGCCTCAACGCGACCATGGGCAAGGGCACGGACCATTAGCCAACTCAACAGCCTCAGGTGACGGACCGCTGCACCTCTGACGGGGCTGCCAGGGCCAGAATTTAGGTGTCAACTCGTTTGCAACCAACTGTTGGATCCTAGTCTGCCAGCTGTAAAGACGCCATGACGGCCAGGCCTTGGAGAAAGTTGGAGCTGGATGCAGTGAGTTGGTGCATCCCCTGGACGGCAGGCGCAGCCCAGCATGCAACCCCAGCTCCCTCCTTGCCCAACGCCCAGTTGCCAAGGCATTCTAGCATCCGACCTGTGCCTGCCTCTGTGAGGTTATCTCAAACAGTGGGTCACAACCGTCAACAACGCCCGAGAGAAACTGCGATCCGATTTTAGCACTTGCTTCACAGTCACGGTTCATCACGCTCATGTGTGCTCACACACCAATGCCTGCTGCCTGCAACACCATAACACAATTGCTGCTGTAGTACAGTAACACGGCGTTACGGCGTAACATTACCATCGAGACACATCCGACGAGAGAGAAACAACCAGTGACCACGATCAGGTTGTTGTTGTGGTTGTTGTTGTCGTGTTGGTTTCATCCCAGTCACTCAGTCAGGTTATCGTCTTGAAAACGCCGGCGACGAAAACAAACGGGCGCGTATTGAAGCGGGCAAATTTACAGGCGCAGGAGCAGGCGTAGGCAGAAGGGTCCAATCACTCAATTATTTGGTGAGAGCTTCGTGGTTGGTCAAGTGCTGGACTAAGATCTTGGAGTCGAGAGTCGTATACGAACAGAACGGAAGCCGTGTTTTGAGCTTCATCCCGGCTGCTGGAACATATCCGGGTGGAAACACACACACATACGATTGAACGTGGCACACTAATTGTCAAATTCTCGTTCCGGACGTCGTGCACACCAATAAACCGATACCTGCTTGCAAGTGCAACACTTCCTCAATTTCACCCTCACTTTCACTCTCAGTCCACGCTGTGATACCGTGCCCCCCTATTCCTCACTCACTTGCCACCCCCTGAGCCAAAATAGACCAACCAAGGGCCCCGGAAAGTCGGCTATGTCAACAACAACCAACAACAACAGCAACACCATGGAAGGCATCATCGAAGGATCCACCACAGCCACAGGCACACAAGGCACAACAAGCAATGGCAGCGGAAGCGGAAGCGGTGGTCGCGTCAAGGACCCCGTGCATGAAGCGAACCTAGAGCGAACAATTCGCGAACTCAAGCGAATGACGGCAGATGCCGAGGCGACTTTGAACGAGGTGAGTCCCCATGTCAACAAATCCCTTTTTCACTCACTCGGTCACTCGCCCAATCACTAACCAACTCACAGCTAAAACTCAACATCGCCCAAACCGGCTCACCACCTCCTCTAACCCCCCTCTCCTCTCTCCACCTCCTAACCCGCGCCTACACCTCCCTCTCCGAATCCGACCCAACCCCGCTGCTCCCCTTCCCCGACTCCGTCTTGCCCGCTCTCCTCACCCTCCGCAAAACCTCTCAAACCATCGCCCAAACCAACTCCCACCTCTCCTCCTCCTCCTTATTGCTCGACCAACAAAAACGGCAGCTGGAAGACCTCAAAATCGAAGTCCGCGAGCAAAATGAGCTGCAACAAGCTCTTCAAGCACGCGTAGAGCTGCTGAGGAAAGGGATGGAAGCTAGGAAGGAGATGAGTCTCGAAGAGGCGGCTAGGGAAGAGCTGCAGAAAATGGAGGGGGAGAGGAAGAAATATGATGAGGAGACGAAAAAGTTGGTTAGAGAACTGAATTGGTTTATTGAGGAGTATCTGGGTCCGTTGTTGGCGGCGGAGGAGATGGGTGGCCCGGTGGTGGGGGAGATGATGGATTTAGATGCTGAGGATCTTGAGGCGGGATTTAATGCTAGGGGGAAGTTGAAGAAGGGTAGGGCGAAGAAGACCGATGGAAACGAGGAAGGGGATAAAAAGCAGAGGAGGATTGATGAAATTTGGGGCGGGGCCCGGGAAGATCCAGAGGAGGGAAGGGAGAGGAACGGCGGCAAGAGAAAGAGGGAAGGGGATGAAGCGAGTGCTGCAGGAGCGGAGATGAGAACTCTGATTGAGAAACTTATGAATAAGAGTATGGATGCCGGAGGAGATAGCTCGGCGGCATATGTCAGGATTGAGAAGGAGACGGCGGCGGCGAGGTTTTTGGTCAGGAGCAAGGTGGCTGTTTTTCATCCGAGGGATGCTACGAGGTTGAGGTTGGTGGATTTTGGGAGGGAGTTGGATGATTAGGGCAGTCACGGTTTGGGACACATCTACGATATTGGAGGTCATGATAATCCTGAGAGTCTCTTAGATCAGGAAAAAGACAGCCTAACCTGGCCAAAGACCCTCGAAAGCGGCGTTGGAGAGTCGGTATAGCATCACCCTCACCCTTCCTGGGGGTAGCCATTTCCCGGCAGGCAACGCACTGGCCAAGAGTTTTAGGACCCCTGAAATCAATTAACGCGTCCAACGCGTCACACCAACGCGCTACAGAGCTCTGTTTGAGCTTCCACTTTTGCTTTTGCGCCTGCTCCCCACCATTGAAACAGCTCTGTTTCCTCCCTCCAATGTTTCTTGCCTGCCGTCGACTTTTGTCCCGTCATTCTTCTCGCCTTTCTTTCCTCCCAATTGTTTCCAAAACAACCACATTCAAACCCTTCACAACCACAACACCGCAAATGACCACAGACGGACCCAGCTCTCCCCCAGCCAAGCGCATCAAGACCGATTCCTCCTCTCAAACCACCACCGCCGCCACAATGACCGCCGATACTCAGACCCCTGCCGTCCCGGCCGTCACCAAGCTCTCCCAAGCCCCTCCTCTCCTCATCAAGAAACTCTCCGACAAGGCCCGCCTCCCAACTCGCGGTTCCGCCTTTGCTGCTGGTTACGACATCTACGCTTCCAAGGAGACTACGATTCCTGCGCGGGGAAAGGGATTGGTTGATACGGATATTTCTATGGCTGTTCCGGAGGGGACTTGTACGTTTTTCTCTTTCTTCTTTGCTTTAGCCTGTCCCTACCTTTCTGTGTTTTTGTTTCTTCAATGGTGATTTAGGTTGGGGTTGGGATTGGGATTGGGATTGAGCTTGGGTTGGACGTTACCTCCGGTGGCCACTCCGTGGAGGCCCTCCGGGAGTGAACTCGCTGCGCCTCGCTTTCCCCCCTTCCTTGCCTTCGCTCTATTTCTCTTTCCCCCCTCCCTTCTTCAACCCAGAATCAACAGCTAACAGCCCCCCCAAAAAATAGACGGCCGCATAGCCCCCCCGCTCCGGTCTCGCAGCCAAGAACTACATCGACGTTGGCGCGGGCGTGATCGACGCCGACTACCGCGGCCAAGTCAAGGTTTTGCTTTTCAACCACTCGGACGTTGACTTCCAGGTCAAGGAGGGCGATCGCGTGGCGCAGCTTGTGCTGGAAAGGATTTATACACCTGAGGTTGTCGAGGTCCAGGAATTGGAGGAGAGTGTTAGGGGTGCGGGCGGGTTTGGAAGTACCGGTGTTGGGGAGGTGAAGAACTAAGTATTGATGGTTCTTGCTCATTTGTCTGTCTGGAAAAGGGCTAGGGACTTGGGATGGTATAGATGGCGTTTGGGAATGAAATAGAATGCATATTGAGGATGTTGAAATTCTACAACCCTATCGATCCAAGACATTTCTTTATATATGAAGTATGATGTGGTATATACTTTTCCATAGGATGTCAGACCCGAAATCCTTCAAGTCGCCATGCTATGCCAAAATCTAGCTTCTAGTGCCACGCTCAACCGAACAGCTCGCATCTATCCAAAACCAACTCTTCTCCATCTCTTTCCCCGGCGTCCTCTCCGATAGCCTGACACCCAAACAAAAACAAGAGCTAAGAGCACTCTATCCTCCTGGCCCTAAACTCCACCTTAGGATGCCTCAAGCTATCCAAGTGCCTCACCAGCCTCAACTCCGCCGCCTTGCTCTTCATCAAGTGTAACTTCTTCCTTGCCTCCGCTTCTTGTTCTTCCTTCTCTTTTATCATTTCCTCCTCCGTCTTCTCCGTCTTTTCCGTCTCTGTGCTCAGCACCCCATTCCCGTTCGTCTGTTCAGATTCCAGCTTGGGCTTTTTATCCACGTGCTGTACTTCCCCATCTTGCGTCCCATTGCCATTCGTATACCCATTCGTCTGTGCCCTCTCCCTCTGAAGCTGTTCCTCAACAAACCCCTTAGCCCTCTCCACCCGCCCTTTCATCCCCTCCGCCGTCTTCGTCAAAACCTCATGCATGCTCGCCAACACCTTTTCCGCCGCCTTCGCCAAAGGCAAGTCCAGCGCGTCCACACCATCTTCACTCAACCAGCTCTCTCTCTCCGTCAGGCCTCCTTCAGTGTTATACACAGCTTCCCGCATACGCACCAACATCAGCGCGGAAAACATATCGCCTGTTCCACTGAAATAACAGTCGATGGCGGGAAAGCTAATCTGGAAGGCGCGCGGTTGCCGGGTGGAAGTCATTGTTGAGCCTACCACACTCAAAGTTTTGGTGCGGGGTGGTTGGGACTGGCCTTGGTTTTCTTCTTCTTCTTGGGGTAGTTGTGGTGGTGTAGGCGCTGAAGAGCCGGGTACGGAGTTGGGAGCTGTAGACGAGGGAGTGTTGCTGTCGGGGAGGGAGACCGAAGTAATAATGATGTGCGGAATGGCGTAGCGTTCGTGGAGGACGGAGATGGCGCGGGTTAGGGATGGCATGTCTACTATTTTGACTTCTGATAGTAGTCTATTGGTTGTCAGCTCACCCCAGCCAGACCACCAGATAGGGAAAGGGAAAAAAAGAGGATATACTCACTCAGCCTCAAATTGATTCGGCAGAATCAGATCCGCATACTTCATCAGCCCCTTATAAACAGGCACCACATCCTGCGCGACATACAAGCTCCCATTATCGCCCATGACAGGATCCAGCACCCAAAAGAAAGATCCCGGTTTGTTTCTGGATTGAGCCTTCTCTTTCAGTTCCTTCGCAATCTCCCCTACTGCTTCCAAAGCTGGAGCACCGGGGACGTAACCAGATAACATCATGTCGAAATCATCTAGGTAGGATTGCTTCAAACCCCGGTATAAGTCCGTGATTTCCGCAGCGGATACCCGTGTTCCCGTGAACTGGCGGTAGCCTGTGTGGTTGCTGAATTGCACCGTGTTGAGGGCGGCGACGTCGCAGCCGAGGGATTGCATGGAGAAGACGGCGATTTTGTTGCCTACGTAGCTGCTTTGCGGGAGGGTTGTTAGCCTGAGTGTTCTGCCGTCTGGTCTTGTCTCATTCTGTCTTGACTTTGTCTGGTCTTGTCTCGTTCTGTCTTGACTTTTTCCGGTCTTGTCTCGTTCTGTCTTGACTTTGTCCGGTCTTGACCGGTCTTGACTCGTCTATCTTGTCCAGCCGGTCTTCCAAGTCCTCTCGTCTCGTCCTGTCATCGTGGAGAAGGTCGGCGCAACTAGGTTCGAGGGGAAATAACTAACCCAGAGACAACCTGAACAGCCCAGGTCAGCAATTGATCTCACCAATCCTCAGAAGAAGGACAAGAACAAACTTACATGGCTAGCAACCGCCAACACGCGGGTGTCAGGGACTGGAGGCTCTCCGTCGCTCATTGTGATCTAGGTAGGTAGGTATGATGCTCGTGCGATTCGGTTTAGGGGCGACCTGGTAGAAAGATTGGACTCTGGAGTCGTGATATAGACAGACTCCTTCGTTCGAATTGGTTATTTCCGGTTCGGTAGATGTAATGTGGCGTGGAGTGGCGGCGCAAAAGGATCTCGATCGATGATAGAGGAATGAGGAGGTACGCAAGCCAAGCCAAGCTGAAGAGTCAATGGCTTGAATTGGGTAGGGCAGGTCGGTCGTCTATATAGTCGTCTGCTCAAGATCTCTGAAGATGTCAAGAATTGATCCAATGCCAAAGGAGATGAGAAGTTGTTGACAAGAGGAAGTTTGTCTTGAGTCGCAGAGGTCGAAGGAAAGATAGGTGATCACCGGACTGGGTCAAGAAAGATTGAGGAAAAAGTTCCAAAAAGAGGCAAGACTATGACACATACGATCTGACCCCAGTCTGACACTCAGTCAGTCAGTGGTAGTGATCACAACAGCGACAAGAACACCGTGTATAGCCGAAAGAATTTGTCAATTGAAACTAATTTGTAATCGAAGTGTAGAAAAAAAGCAGAATTAACTGCGATATCGCCCTCCTGTGTCACCTCTTTGCCCAAAGTCGCTCGAGTCAAGCATCATGGTCCTCGAGAAAAAGGGTCCAGAAAAGTCGCCGTTAACGGCTGTCTGTTATTGCACAGGGCCCGCGTCAATGACTCTTTTCCAGGAACCACCATTCCCCGCCAAAAGTTTCCTGCAGGGCGGGTTAGGGAATGCGGGGTCCATTCTTTCACGCCCTGTACTGCTTGGTAGTGTACGCGGGACGTCACGCAGGTGGGTAGGTAACATTGAACGAAGGGAACAATGTGGGGAAGCTGGTGAGCCTCATCAGACGAAGATGTTGTTTTAACATGAAGCTGTGATGTCAAGAGTGGTGGATGATTTGATTTACGGATAACATATCATGGGCAAGGCTGGACCCTTGAATAGTGATCATAAGCAGCACAGGACGAGCAACTTTCCAACCTAATCTTGGTGCAACCACCCTAGGAGAAGATATTGGTGACCCTTCCAGGAACGTGCTGTCACTTCGTCAAGTTGTCAATGTTGGATGCCATCATGATACTCATTGACACCTCGCGAATCGTCTCCCCTGCCTCCTCCTTAAGCACTTCATTTCGCAAACAGAAAAGAACAAAACGCCCTCCTCTAAAACATTTGGTGCGTGTGTAGTGTACTAATGCCAGACTCTTCTCTTTCAAAACACAGATTCTTTTTCTTCATATCCCATTTTCTTCTCATCACCCATTCATCCCTCTTCTACGATGATCTCTCCCTTTGCTTCCCATTCAAGACTTTTCCTATCCATCCTGGCGTAGCTCCCCAGCCTCTCGTACATAGCGTACATGTAAGACCGGCGTAGACGTAGACGTGGTTCGTGGTTGTTATTGTTGTTGTCATGTTCATAACAAAGATATGGTTCGGTTGGAGGTAGATAGATGGAGGTGTTTACTCCTCGTCGCCAATCTGTCAAAGTGAAACCTATTAGGATCATCCCAAGCCAACATTGCACACGAAGATGGTGACCACATACCTTGGGCGCAAGATAGAACCTCAAATACGAGCTAGCAGAAATGTTGTACTCAACCAAAAGCGGCACCTCGTTCGACAAACAGATCTTGACCGTGCTCGACAGTGCGCTCGCCTTGCAAAAGTTGACCAGGTACTTGAGCGAGAACGTGAGGGACACGGGCTCGCTAAGCTCGATCTCGATATTCTCCGCGGGCTTATCGACATTGGTGTGCTGACGAAGCGTGATGCTGCCGTTACCGATATCGCCCTGGCAGCTGAACTTGACGCCGTCCTTGCTCGCCTCGATGTTGACGCTCTCGCTCATGGCCATGAGGTCGGTGGTGATGCGCTTGAACTCGGCCGACGGCATGCTGATGGTGGCCGCGTACTCGGTGTCGGGGATGCCCAGGTGCTCCTGGTCAATGTCCATGAGCTTGAGGTCATACTCGGAGATGCGGTCGTTTTCGGAAGACTCGAAGACGAGGTTGAGCACGTCGGGCGCGTCCTCGGCCTTGAGCGTCAGGATGTCCTCGTTCTGGGCGGCGCGCAGCACCTTGGTCAGGGAGGTAAGGTTCACGCCCAGCGCGATGTTGCGGTCGCACCGGAAGGGCGAGAAGGTCTCCGTCTTGAGCATCATGGATACCAAAGCGACGTGCGAGTTGTCCATGGCTTGGAGCGCGATACCGCTGTCGTTGCAGTCGAAGTTGCAGTCCTGCACGAGATCCTTGATGGCGTCGACGACCTGGATGTCACATCATTGGAAAGTTAGTTGGGCTGTCATCTAGCTGGGAAAGGAAATAGCTCTTGAGGAGAGGAAGAGGACTGGACATGGGACATGGACATACCTTCTTCAGGATCGACGCCTGCTCCAACCGTGCTTCAAGCATTTCTGTAGTTGTTGTAACAGTCCTCCAGTCAGCAACCCATCACTTTTTGTTCGTTCCCCCAGCTTTCTTCCTCCTAATATTGCTAGACAGGCAGGACAGGCGGGTAGGTAGGCAGCAGGAAGCAGGCAGCTTCACGCCCAGACAGAGAGACGACATACTGATGGATGTGAATTAACTGAATTCGAGAAAAAAAAGAAGAGGGAAAAAAGGGTATAACAGGCGAATGCGCGCGCTGGGTATCACTTCGTGGGAGAGGGAGGCGCTCGTAGAGTTTTGACGAAGGAAAGAGGAGAGAAAAGATTGGAATTGGAAAGAGTTGGCGTGAACGGCGAGATTTGTGGTTTTGTTCAAAGAGGTGCAACAGGCAGGCAATCCAATGTGATAAAAGAGAAAGGTGCCGTGGTGGAACACCACCCACTTCGCGACTTGACGCGCCTGCTAAACGCGCTGAGCTGGGGTTAGGCTTAATTGATTTACCGCTTCGGGCTAGCTCCCCGGTGCACGGTCCGTTCATGGCGCTTTTAGTGTTCTTTCAGGCGCAATCTTCGCGTTTTCAGTGGGTGGTGCCTTCCTGCCGTTCCTGAAAGCTGCTGATGAACCCCTGAAGTCTTTCCCGTCTGTTTGGATCATCGTGTCTCTCGCCGGCGACGTTGAAGGCATGCTCACTTTCGATATAGGGCTTCAACTATTGGACTTCTTCATTTTTGCTCTCTCTGTTCTACTGCTTTCCAGTCTTCAATTTTGCCTATTACATTATTCACCCATCCTAGCTTACACGCTCTGTTTCTCTCTCTTTCTCTCTCTTTCTCTCTCTCCCTCAACCCAAACAATTTATCACAGAATGCCAGCCCCAAGATCGTCTGTCTGTATAAGTAGCAGTGTAAATAAAACGCCGTTAAATTCTGTATCCCATAATCGCTCGCTTGCGCGCCCCCAGCTTTCAAATGACTCCATTTCCATGGTGTGTGTGTGTGTCTTGTTGTATCCCGTCGAAAACGCCATTCTACCCAAAGTTGTTGTGATGTTAAAAAAAGAAAAACTGGCAAGCTGGCCTTCTTGTGCTTGTGGTCGTTGTCCCTCTGCTCTCCCTCCCTCTTTTGTCTGCGCGCAATCGCAATGCCATGCAAGAATTATGAATGCTCTTCTTTCGAAAGGAAGAAAACCCCGGGGTTAAAGAAAAGAGAATGTCGCAAAATGTGTAGGTTGTATGTCGTCATAAAGAAAGCCTCGTCGGTGCAAGACTTCCCCCGTTTCCTCCTCCTCCTGCTGGCCCCGCGGTGGTATGCCTTTTCGGTCGCAAATTGATCACCATCTCCAACTCCTTCAGCATGCCCCTGCTTGCCTCTGACTTTTCCCTTTGCATCGCTCTCATCTCTCTCTCCTCTTTCATTTTCACCAATCTCTCCTCTCTCGTCAACATACTCCTTGGCCGGGCCGGTTGTGATGCTACCGCCTCAAACACATCCGGCTCGGTGGAACTTGGTGATGAGTTTCGTGGGGGAGAAGTCTCCCCGTTTAGCGCTTTCAGCGCATCCTCCGCTCCACCACCGGTTTCGTTCTCTTCGCCAACGGTAGTCAACCCGCTTAGCGAAGTAGCAGGCGAGTAAAGCATGCTCATGGAGGATAAACGCTTCTCGTTGCGATCGATACCTGACGCCAGTGCAGCCTTGCCGTCTTCCCATGCTTGTTGGAGCATTTTGAGGTCTTGACCGATGGACTCGTATTGCGACATGAGGTCGAAACCAACTTCGGAAATATCGTCGGCTTCGTTGAGTGCCTTCTCGGATTCTTCGCGTAAAAGTGCCAGCTTGGCTTGGAGACCGCGGATGCCCGTCGATAGGGAGTTGAGCTTGCGGAACTGCGTTCGCCGTTTCTCGCGATTGGGGGAAAGAGGGAACTTGGTCTCGGGAATAGCGGGGAAGCCTGTTTTTGTTAGATTTCATGACTCATGGCCATGGAAATGGGTTGAACGTACTCTCTTCATCACTCAAGATAAGCCTCAGCCTCTCATAACAATCACCCGTCAAAGTGCTCAGCTGGTTGAGACACTGCGCCGCCGTCGACCATCTTACAAAGTCGCTGTTATCGCCCGTAGCCTCGAATGCAAGCAAAGCGCAGAGAAGCAGCTTGCGGATGGTGTGAAACCTTGCAGCCGCGATCTTAAGCACCCGTAGTGACTCGGCGTCCTCCGTCGCATCCTCCGGAAACCCCTGCATCGCATCGGAAACGTCAAAGTCGGTAATGTCGTAAACGTCGTAGTATTTTTCCAGATCCAACTGTTCCGAAAGTCCCTTCACCGCTGTCGTCACCTGGATATAACTCTTGATCATATCGGCAAACCGCTGCTTGAGGGCCTTGCGCAGACGTCCGCATCGTCGCGTTTGGCTTCGGTCTTCGATTCGGCTGATAGGCGGTAGTGGTGCGCTCCTGGATGTATGTTAGCTGTGGGTACTTACTCTTTGTAAACAAGACCACACTTACAGTCTATAACCCCTCGAGACCAACTCAACCTCCTGAATCAACGACAGCGCCGCACTAGTAGCACTATCCCAATCCTGACTTTTGGCCACAAAAGTAGCAACCTCCGCCAGCGCCTTATTCCTTACATATCTCAACCACTGCTTCCGGATGTATAAGTGCGCCACCAATCCCACTGCAACCGCGACCACGACGGTAACCAGCACCCCTTTTTTTGTCAACCGGGTATATCCTCCCAAGCACAACCATCTTATCCCCAAAGCCACGACCAACGCTCCCGCAGCCGTCGCGATCAACCCCGTCGAATTCGGCAGCACCACATCGTTACTCTGCCCTTTCGAGCCATCGGCGTCCTGGTTTCGGTAAAAGTGGTTCAGCCCCGCAACTGAATGTCCACTCAGCAACTGCGAGGCGACGATCGTGTACCGGAACTGCTCGATGAACTTCTGGTTGTCGGCGCGGTCTATCCTCGCTGTCACGGCTTTCTTTACCCCAAGAAGCTTCATTAGTTCGACCCCTATGGCCTGCATTATCTGAGCGTAGAACCTTACAGAGTAGGAGTCATGTAGCGAGCCGAGCGAGCTGTAGCGCTTCATGCGGTGCGGGATGTCGAGGTGTATTGGCTCGGGCGCGTTCTTGCGAAACCGCTTGCGGACCATGGGGCGGCCTACGGGCGCGAAGTTGGGGGAGGACGGGGGTGAGATGCTGTGGTCGGAGATGCGGTCATCATCGTCGCGGGCATCGTGGAATTGGGGACTGTCATTGTGATCGGAATCGGAGGCAGAGGAGGAGGAGGCTGGCGGTGTTGGCCAGTTATTGCTGTTGCTTCTTTCTTCGCCTTGATCTGTCATGGTAAAGTAACCGGTCAGAGGATGTTTGATAGTAATGAGTAAAAGAAGGTAAGCGAACCCTTGAGATAATTGGCAAGAGGCTCGCAATCCTGAATTACGGTCTCCATGGATGCAGCCACCAGCACAACCGGACAACTCGGACAACGAAGAAACTAGGACAACGAAGAAACTCGAACAAGAGAACAGACTTGGAAGAACATCCAACAAAGGAAGAACACGGGCGGTCGATGCAATGTGTTGGTGCTAGCTCTCCATCTGGCGCCAGGCGGCAACTCTAATGATTGTCCCTTGTTTCGAAGGAGTACAGATACAAGGCCGGCGGCACCACGCAGTGTTTCCTTGTTTCAAGTCCTCGGTTTCCCCCCAAATGTCCGTGTCTTGCGAAGATGGGCGTGATGCGATGTGGCTGTGAGCTGAGAATCGGTGGGTTTTCTTTGTCGCTTATGCTATGCGAGGTGGTCGAGACGTGGGAATATGGAGAGTGCGGCGCAAGGTGATGTGTTCGACTGCCGACTTGGTAATGTGCTAGCGCAATCGGTTATCGATGCATGTGCCCTCTGTTTCGTCTTTGTTGCTTCGTAAAACGCTGGTCGAGATTCGATCGATCGTGATTTCGTCGATGTTCGATGTTGAAAAGGAGTGTCGAGGTTGGAAATTGGTGTAAGTGAACTATTGATGACGGATGGAGAACGATGATCGAGCGGACGCTGACGAAACGGAGTCCTGGGAGAACCGGGAAACGGGCAACTGGCGACCTCCGAGACAACTGAACGAGCGACTGACGTCCCCTGTGGATTTTGACTTGGTGGAATGATTATGGAAGCCTTCTTTTTCTCTCAACAAGTGCGAATCTCTCCACAGCTGTGAGTCCGAAAATAACAGCTTTCTAGGTCCTTGGGATGCTCATTAAAGGTCACCGGAACCCTGGCAGATGACGTTAAATTTGACGCCACTCGTCTGCAACTCAGCGAACCAGGGGGGTGGGTGTTTGTATCGTAGTATCTTACCGTCTTGTTACTTATCTGCTGTCTCCAGTAACCAAGTGCCAGCAAAGTGAAAGACGGGTTGAGGAATAAAAAGAGTGCCCAACGTCGCACAAATATGTCACTCCCAGGAGTGATCCGTAGAGCTCATTCTTTATATCGGTGAGGAAGAGAGGTTGGGAGAGTTCCAGGCCAGGCCGATGTGACAATGATCAATCATTCCCTCGGAACATTTCACTCAAAGTCAGTGACACTTTCCCTTCAGGAGGTTGGACCGTTACGCTACTGCACCTTGAACCCTGTCGTGACCGAGACGGATCCCCTTCTCCAACCCTGGAAATTACCCAATTCATTCCAGTCGCCGTGGTCACCGTCGCCGACCCCGACTGGTTCATGGTCTCATAAAACGGTAAGATACGATAAGATTACAGACGGATCGACGGGCCAAAGCTTCCACCCGACGGGACCCGGCAAAGGAGCCGTAGAGGTTCTTAGCAGCTGAACCCCTGCCACGTGCCCTAGCCGGCATGTTGCCTGCCCCAGCTCAGCTTCAGCTCACTACAGTGCATGACGCCGCGGCGGCCCGGCAGGCATTGCTCGGCAGCTCCGTTTCCCTGACGTTGGCCACCTGGGCTCGAGCTGGGTCAATTGGCAGTTGCAGGTTGCGGCTCCACGCGATCAACCACCAAGCGACGACCGAGTGCATCACCATTCTGACGACCAGACGACCACGACCACGACAACGACGAAACGAAACGAAACGGATCCAGGCATCTTAGACGAAACCGACTAGAAAGAAACGAGATCGGAAAGGAATAAAAAAGGACGATCCGGGGTAAATTGCGACACCCAAGCCATTATCAATCAGCACGAACCACCAGAACCCGAGATCGCGAGTCGCATATACAGCAGGCCCGGCGCCAGATACCCGACGCGAAACACCGAAACAACCCAAAAAACGATAAAATTATCCATACTACCCGAGATAGACAGCCAAGATGTTGTCCGAAAAAGACTACCAGATTTCGCCGATTGTGCAAGAGAGCGTGATGCATAACTCCAAGGTATGTTTGTTTACCTTTCCATTATTTCCCCCTCCATTTGCTCCCCTCCCCTCCATTTGCTCCCCTCCCCTCCTCTTCCTCCTCCCCTCCTCCCCCCTTCAACATTATCCCACATACTAACATGATATAACCAGTCCCTCCAAAACCTCCAATCCCTCTCCGCCTCCCTCTTCGGCATCTCCGCCGGAATTTTGGGGTTGGAATCCTACTCAGGCTTCCTCTTCTACATCTTCTTTTCCTTCCTCACTTCCCTGCTGATGTACATCATCCGGGTCGCGCCGTCCACTTTTCCGAAAGAATACAAAGACAACAAAGGCACGGACAACGGCTTGGGCAGCGGAGTCGGTGGAGTCAATAAATACTTTAGGGGAGGATTTGAGTTCTGGGCCGGAGGCATCATGAATGGGTTTGCGGGTTTGTGTTGACTTGGACGTTGTTTTATGGGTTGGTTAGGGCTTGAGCTGTTTGTCTGGATGACAGGCTGGGGGACGGAGGCGGATAGATAGGGAGAGAGTCAGGCAGGCGATGGGGTTTGGGCGGTCTAGGGAGGGATGAGGAAAAGAAAAGATGATCGAGATGGGTGAAGATGGGGATGTGATCATGTGGAGGCAGTTGGGGGGAATGAAGAAGTATGATTCAACCCCGTGTCCTAGGAAGACACAGAAAGTTGCTACGTGTGTTTGATGATATGCAAGGCTCGAATCGTACCGGGTAGAGCTAATTACGAACGTGATGTTTTGGTTACCGAGCACATCTCCGGCAGTGAAGAGCTGATCGGGTATCCAGAAGAACAAGTTTGTACGAACCAGTGCAATGTTCAGACATCAGTCAATCGACACAAAAACCGCAGAGAGCCGTTGTTAACAAGGAAATCTGATTTATCAATGCTAACAGAACACTATGGTACCCGACAACTACCTCCATTACATCATCAATCCAGCAACAACAGAAAAAAACACAGTTACGCTATGGCAAGAACAAAAACCAAAAGCTCAGAAATCCAAACAAAGCAAAGGAACTAAAACAAAGACTCGCTGACACGCACTCTCATGCTTCAGAAACAAACCATAGAAAACAAAAAGACTTGGATCACTCAACAATCTCAACAACCCTCCCCACAAACCCTTCCAACCGCGACGACCGATCCCGACTCCCATTATCACCCAATATCAAGATCCTCGAGCCCAGCTCGATCCACTCGCGGTTGGACAAGAGTTCCAGTTGGACTTCACATCCCTTCTTAGCCGCCTCCTCTTCCTCTTCCCCAACATGTCCACTGTCAACAGTCTCACCGTTGTTGCTGGTGTCATTGACGTCATCGCCGAAGGTGAAGACATCGTCCTCTTCCTTTCCACTTGGCTCGTTGACGGAAGTGTGTGTAGATAGGGGAGAAGGGGTGGGATGGAGCCTCGTAACCCTCACCACCCTCGCAGAAGCCCTGATGCTGGCGACGTATACGTTGACTAGACTTCCCACTATTAACGCAGCCGCGACTCCTCCTTCTTCGTCTGCGTTACCATCACCGCTTGAGCTGGAGCCATTGGGACTGCAGTCGTCATCTTCAAAAACAGCAGTCAACCCACTAGCAGCTTGCAACGTAGTCGTGCTGGACATGTGTTTCCCAGGAACGGCGAGGACCATCCCCTTTCTTACCCTCGCTGTCCTTTTGGCGCCAGCTTCAGTGGCCGTGGGGTGGTCAAACACCATGCCGATAGATCCAACCTGCCCTGCTGCTAAGGTCTGAACGGGAAGCTGGAGGTTCCTGATGGAAACAACCTTGGCGGTATGCCATTCCCCCTTTGCAGAGGAAGCAGATGCAGACGGGTTGGTTTTGGTCGACGAGTTAAGACGGTTGAGTTCTGCTGATGAGGGGTTTGCTTCCAAGTCAGAGAGGGTAGGGCGGAGGTGGTTATCGCTTGCTATAGCTCCTACTGCTCCCAGAGAAGGGGTGGCGGGGCTGGGCGTGTCGCTTGTTTCATCTGACGACGAAGAGGTAGAAGACGAAGAAGGGAAAGGTCCAACGACCACCGTATCCCCGATTGACAAGCTGCCAAAGCGTAAGTGGCCAGCTACCACGGTTCCGAGATCTGTTTCCTCGTCCGAGTCACCTGTTGCTAGTGAAGAGGAGGCAGCGAGGTTGTACTGGTCCTCGATGTGGAACAAGCTGGCAGGCTGCTCCGGATTCAATGCAGGGCCGATGAAGTCATGCGCGGTTGGAGTGGGAGGTAATGGCAAGCCTTGGAGTAAAGCATGTAACATGCCTAGACCGCGACCGTCGACGGCGGAGGTGAGGACTATAGGGACCACTGATAAGAAGTCACCGCCGTTGGAAGCGAGTTGGTCGGCGACCTTGGCGACGGCCGCTTCCTCGGTTGGCGAGACGTGGGTGAGCTCGTGAGGAGTGGTGGCGTCTGCTTTGAGAATTGCGGGAGCGCGGCCGGCTCGCTTGATTCCTGTGAGGACTTTGTTGAGGGTTGACAAGATGGAGGGCTTGCTAGCGAGATCGAGTTTGGTGATAATGATTGCCAGAGGTAACTTGAGGCGCAGGCAAAGCTCGAGATGGGCGGAGGCTAGATCGATGCTGCTGCTGCTACCGGTCGGGGTGGTACCCAGAGACGGGGCATCAACAGCAGGGGAAGCATCGCTGCCGTCGGCAGCTATGCAGAGTAATGTCCAATGAGGCGCCCAACCAATGATGCCGCGGAGGATAGTCCTACGATATCTCGGAGCTCCAGCCGAGTCTACCAGGTAAACTAACCGGCCATCCTTGGTAAAGTCATGGGCGTCGATCCAAGATTCAACTCCGCTATGAGCATCGTTGATGATTTCGCCTTCGTTGTAGCCGACAAGTGCTTGAGCGACAGAGGAAGTAACACCCGAAGCTACCTCATGGGGATGTTTGAGCAAGTTGAGCCGACTTTTTCCACGGCCGTTGTCCAGAGTCCCCTGAGATAAAATACCCAAAAGCGTGGATTTCCCAGACGTAGTCGGCCCCGTGAGCGTAACGCGCAGCTGGTTCGCGGTCAACGGCCCCTGTTTCATGGTCGACAAAGCTGAAGACACAGCACCACCGCCCGTGGCTTGAGCAGTCAAGTCTGGCATGATCAGAGCTTCAACCACCCATAACTTGTCCTTGCGTCGAGTCTCCTGGGGTTCTCCGAATAACGAACCTTCAGACTCAACCGACGAGTCAATCCACTCGCACTCGCCCACTATCACCATCCTTAACACATTCATGTTGCATCCCAAACTCGCCGCCATGACCCTCAAGTTTACCAAACTTTCATCCAGCTCATCTCTCGTCAGCCCCACGAGCGTGCCATCATCCGCCACACCAATCTCATACAGGGCACCTCTCGATGCTTCCAGCCCCGGCAGCAACTTGCCCAACTTGACGTTTCCATCCCGCGCCAGCTCATCCGGATCCGGCAACTTCGGAATTACCAGATCTACCGCCGCAGAACTAGCATGGTAAGGACAAGACTGCTGCAGCCTCCATAGCAACTGGGTAGTCAAGTGTTCAAAGCGATCCTGTCTCGTTGTCGTGGCGCCTGAAGACCCTCCAACAGAGACTGGAGTGCCCCGTAATGAGTTGGAAGTGGGATCATAAGGCAGTGGTCTGCTCTGGGTAGACCCGCAGATCTTGGCTGTCGAAGTGCTGCTGTGTTCGTACTTGCGCCGGGGGCGGAGGAGGAGGTGCAGCTTGTATTCCGTTGGACCTTCTTGTGGCTCGGCTTCTAGACGGGTGATACCGTTGTAGTCGGAGAGGAGACCGGTCTGGATGACTCCGGTGGTAGTGGGGTTTGATGAGCGGACTTCCGGAGTGGACCGCCGGCTGGGCCCTTCGGAGGGTTTGAGCCATGGGGAGGAGACTCGCGGGGGTTGGGATCGAAGGTGAAGACGGACATGATGTTTGCGTTTGTGTCTGGGCTCGCTTGGGAGGACTTGGTGGTGTGACCTCAAGTGGTCAGTGTATATGATATCTGATAAGAGGGTTTGACAGCAAATAAACAAAGAATCAGCAAGTCCCGTGGTGGTGGTATCGGAGATGATGGTGTGACAATATTGCACGGTGAAGGTATGTGTTATAGGATAATAGTGTATGTATTCGAGTGATCATTTTGGATGCTATGGAGCGAGTTGCTCAATGTCTGGTGATGTTGATTATAGTCGAGTGAGGTCCGTGGAGAGGGTCCTAACTGGGTGCTGTGGCAGACCAACTGGTCTTTTTAATTGAGGCTGGAGAACATCATGGTGACGGTTTCTGTTGTTGACCTGTGTTTGGGATACAATAGGAAGAACACAAGAGGGTTTGTTCTCTTCTTGAAAGTGAGGTCAAGGAGGAATACAAGATGAAAGGTGTTTGGTCGGTGAGTGACGCATCAATGCCTTCCTTCCCTTTTCGTTCAGAGGTGTCTGACTCCCACAGACCAACTGACCAACCTATGTGCTAAACGCATATGGCGGTTCGTGCATCAATGCGCGAGTTGCAAGTACGTATCAGATACGTTGAACGTTTACCGTCCCGTTTGAACAAGTTTGTCTGGATGTAAAGGGATGGAAATAACGTCATTTCATGGCATTCAGTTCAAAGTATACCCTGATCCAATTGCAAGTATCATCCTCCAAAACGCTGCAAACAGTTGCCTTGGTATTCCTTTCCCATTGTCTGTGTCATTTTCTCGTATTGCTTGTACTGTTCAATATTGGCTCGTGCGCTAACCAGATTCTTGTGACCTGAGTCTGCAAACATGACAGGAAAATAACGAAACGGCGAGATTAAAAGCGTAAAGCCGGGAGAGTCTGTCAAGCTCCAAGGTCAACATGATCTCAAATTGCGATTTCCACTTGAAGGTTGGTAGAGTGGTGGTTGGATTACGTAGAGTGCGCAACGAAGTCTCGCGGTAACGGAGCTTCCAGGAGCATTTGGAGTGCCATCCCTCCCCCACTATTGCTGGTATTGCGCGGCTTCTCCCGCTCCTTCCAGAGCACTAACACCACGGCGAGCACGGCGACAAGGCCAATGCCATGGCAGTTATCTGGTACTTGTGCAATTGCCAGCCAACAAGCTAGTTACCCGCACAGAAATGCCGACTAGCTGGTATTGTCTTAACAACAGCTGCCGCAAACTGCCCGGTGAAGGGAGGACAGTCACGGTCTGCTGGCAGGCGTCGCGAGGCGTCGTTGCCGTCTCTTTGTTCGAACTTTCCAAAACCGAATCCCCAGGAATTCACTTCATTGACCAAGTGAGGCGGAGGCAATAAGTAACCGGGACCATTTCCTGCTAAAAGAACGTCACCCGACAACTCTATTTCAATGTTGCCCATCGTCCTCGCACGACCTCATCTCAGCCATCCATCACCGAACTGCAGTAGCGACCACTAGCAGTTCGACACCACCAAAAATGGGTCGAAAAAATAGGAACCCCGCCTGGCGGGAGGCCAATATCTGGGAAAAGCCCGAACCCGCTCGGAGATACAGCACTTGGGCAACGACAACATGGAGGACGAGCACATGGGGCAGCGATCATGCCGACCCCGATCCCGATCCCGAAGCTCACATACAACCTGAGGAGCAGCAGGAGGAGGAGGAGGATGGGGAGGAGAAGGTGACAAAGAAGAAGAAGAAGAAGCCATCAATATGGCGGTCTTTGGCGTGTGGGATGAAGGTAAGCATTTATATGGAAATATCATTCACAGACCCCTAGCACTGGTAGCACTGGCCCCTACACCACCATCCACAGACAGCCCTAGCCTGCGACATGTTCAAGCCCGCTTTCCCCTGGATCGCCCATCTCCGCTGCCATTTCCTCGCATTCAACGTCTCCTCCACCACTCAGGAACGAGGAACCGGCGGAAAAGGAGGCCCATCAACACCACCCATGTTTCGACTTTTCGACTGGACCCTGAGTCCTCGAGGAAACATCAGACAAGACGCCTTGATCTGGTACTTGGGGTGGCGATGAATACCGGCACGTCCACCGCCAAGATAACCGGGAATGTCAACACAGCCTCAAACAACCCACGGACAGTCTCACAAGAGGACCAAAAAAGGGAAATTTCAAGATGGGCGAGACGCGGACGCAACTGAAATAGGCCACCAGTCAGTGTTAGTGGTCAACATATTCGACGCCGCCATTAGCGTAACAGAAACACCTAAAAATGGCTGCTTACAGTCCACCTAAAGACCCGCGAGATCCGTCAGCACTTTCCCTCTCGATGCAGGCGTCTCCAAATCGCCCGGCCCCTGCTCTTGCCTCCTGCAACTTGTCCACACTTGAGCATGGGACTCCCTGCAGACATGGTTACGACGCTTGTATTACGGGCCTTCCCCCAATCATTACGGCAGTCCATCAAGCGTCGGGCGGGCCACAGAAGGGCCACAGGAGGATACGCAGAAAGCTGGAACACGCTCCAGACACCAGTCAAGACATTTGGAGTGCTCTCCAGAGGGAACTAACATTTGTCCCCCTGTTCCCCTCATAAGCACCACATCCATGGATTATTCTCCCTAAAACAAACCCTCCATCCATCTTACTCCTTTTCTCTTTCCTCTCGTTCCAGTTCCACCGCATCTTGTCAATCACAACACATCAGTTTCCATCTCTCTGACATCTCCGTCGTTTCTCTTAATTGTACTAAGTATTGTAATCATCACAGTTTCCAAAAATGGGCTGGTCGTTCGGACGAAAGAAGAACAAGGAGGGTGCCGCCGCCGAGAACCCTTATGCCCAGCAACCAGCAGCCGATCCATATGCGAATCAGCACGCGAGCCCTGCTCAGTCCCAGGCTACTCTATCGAGCACCACTAGTAGCGGTCCCCGTCCCGGTGGTCTTCCCTCGGGTCCGTCCCCGTACCAGAACAACCAAGCTCCTCCTCCCTACTCCGCCGGAGGTCCGGTCCAGCAGCCATCTGCTGCGGGGAGGTATACCAACGACAGGTTTGGTACCACGGATAGATATGGCGATAACCGCTACGATACCCCTTCCACCAGCAACCAGAACCGCTACGAGCCCTCGACCGACTCCAAGCAGAGCCAACCATTCTCCAGTTCCAAGTACAGCTCGGGCGTCTCGGCCGGCACTTCTGCTCAACCATCTCCTACCAAGCAGCAATACCCCGTAACATATGGCGACAACAAGCAGCCCGGGCAGATTCAGCCTGATGGGTTCTATCAGCCGTCTCCCCAGGAACTCTATGGCAACAAGTTTGGCGTGCCGGAGGAGGAGCTCACGGAAGAGCAGAAGGAGGACGTAGAGTTCGACGGTGTTCGGAACGACATTGTGAACGAGCAAAATGCCACCATTGACACTCTGGGTCGGACTGAGCAGACGACTCAAGCTGCTCTGGAGAACATGCGCAATGCTCGACAGCAGCTGAGGGAGCAGAACGAGAGGCTGCTGTATGCCAAGGGAAACGTTGATCACGGAAGTGAGTTTTTGCCATGTACAGCAAACCTGGAGCAAATGACCTGATGCTAACACACAACAACAGTGGGCCAAGCTCGTATTGCTAAGGCCAGCGTGAAGGAACTTGAACGGGTGAATCGCTCCATGTTCATGCCCGTCGGCCACAGCAAGAAGACGCTTAACAGGATGGACCAAGACCGCCTGCAGGCTGAACTTGAGGAGAAGGCGATCCGCGAGGAAAATGCCCGCGAGATATATAAGAACCGTTCGCAAGCACAAATGGCCGGCATGAAGCCTAAGAAGCTGGGTCTTGGCGGCGGTGCTGACAACAAGAAGAAGTACGCCCTGGAGGACGATGAGGAGATGGACCACAACGAGAACCTCATCAATACGAAGATCGCCCTGATGGAGCAGGCTGCGGATGAGCTCAAGGAAGGTGCTTTGGATATCAGCGCAGGTCTGGATCTCAGCAATAGGTACATTGATACCATGACCGAGAACGTAAGTGTTTTGTTTTCTGGGAGACGATGCAGGGAAAAGCAACGCACTAACAATTGCAACAGACCGATAGACTCAACATCGAGGTTCGCAGGAACAAGATGGCGCTCGAACGGTTTTAAACAGAACGGCATGGGATGTTGGTTGGGTTGGATGGTTTGGAGTAACCGGAGTTTGTTTGCTGGTCTTAACTTTTCGCTGCGAACATGTGCTACCCCTTTTCTTCAGTGTTTATGTTGATAATACTGTGGGTTATAAAAGGAACGTTTTTTTGTGTGTGTCATTCAGAAATGTTTCTTGCGGTGAGTCTGGCTGGTACAAGGGTCCTTCCTCGGATTCGGATGGTTTCGGGAAATATACATGCCTGAAGAAGGCAGGCCGTTGCGATGATTCGGTAAATATCTAACTACTAATAGACTTAAGTCATGTACCTTGCTATCTCCATTGTGATCTACTTGGGATGTTTCAACTCCAAGCTAAATGCTGAAAACATAATACAAAACTGATGTTATGTGAAGAACGAAGAGACCTATTTCACGTTCGCGGCCTCTCCCAACACCACGATTTAACTCATAAGTTGCATCATCAGCAAACACCTCCTCGCAAGTCATAAATCGCTCCCTCTCCTTTGAACCTCCTGGCTTGCTTGTGAAAGGACCGCAGAGGTGCCATCATGTTACTTTTTAATATCTATGATGGCGTATGCCACCTAACTAACGTGTAACATTCTGTCAGAACCTTTTGGTTTACATGTAGTTATAGTCTTTTATCTGCAGGTGGTCTTCCATCTCATCTGCCACATGATTACTACGAAGTCGAATAGTTCAAATGACACAAAGTCCTGGAGAGCCACTGTGACGGTGCTGTACACAGCAAAACGGCTTAACATTAACAACATTTTGAGCAACGATGTAGAATAAGCAAGGCAAAGCAAGTGGGAAAAAAAATTAGCCAGTGTTTTTTTTTCTTTCCTTTCTTTCCTCTTCCAATTCACTTTTGGCTAGGTACTACAAATATGTATAAGAAATATTAAGGGATCTTCTTTCCAGGACAAATATGTTAATCAGTCGCATCACGAACCCCTTACACGGCAAATATCAAGATGATTAGTCTTAAGGCAGCAACAAAAGAAGGAAATGTTAATCGAGAACATGAACCCAGCTGCCTTACCAAATCCTTCTCTCTAAGCCGGCCATTCTACTCGGCCTAGGTAGGTACTCTGGCCAGAACATAAAACTCGACGCTACCTATCTTACTGTCTTTTGGACACTTCTGGAATACCCATGTTTGAAAGGATACTGCACAATACGAGTTAGTGAATATGCAAGAATCCTAAGATCCCTATGTTAAAAACACTACCTTAGTGGGAGTTTAAAAAGACAAAACCGTGCACAATCTGTACAAGGGACGATACCTAGTAAGCAGACGAAGGAAAGACTTACCATACTGCTCATCGTTCAAGCGGGGTTTAGTTACTCTACTTTATTTACTTTACTTGTTTGTACTCTTTGCTTTATTTCTACTAGGTAGTTTCATTTCCATCTGCATTGCTGATTTCGACCACATGTTACGAAGGCCACCCCGAGAGACACTCACTCGTCCGTCCTTCTTTAGGTAACGACAAATTTACCTACCAAACTGGTCCGGGGGTCTAGGAAATATGAAGATATGGATATCATGTGAAAAAAAAAAACCTTGGGAATTTCTTTGGGCTATTGGCATCACATCCATGTATAATGTAGGCTGTGCACGAGAGCAACAAGCGAGAGACCGAATTGGGGAGAGTGACTCAATCCGGTCGGGTCCTTGTAGACATTGAAGTTGCCCCTGACAGCCAAACACCACGGGGAAAGTCATTCTGTAGGTATCTATACCTCTACCAAAGAACATGAAGCTCATCCTGTTTCCTTTATCATGGAAAGCACAACAGTCTTTGAATCTCTCCAAATATCGTTTAAGTACAAAAACCATCAACAAGCCCATCTCCGTCTCAAACATCCAGCCTAGTCTCCTTATCTAGGTATTCCCAACTCACTCCCCACTTCCATACCGTGGCTTTACCAACCTTCCATATAACATGCCCCTGAATCAACCATATGCCATCAAGAACTTGCACCGGAAAATGACATATTCCACCCCTGCCCGGCCATTTCTAACTATAATCCTTAATCAAACCCCTCTCGATCTCAACATCGTTACTGATGCCCAACCTTTCATCCACATCCCTAAACCCCTTCTCCCTACACCCTCCCCTAACCTTACAAGCATTTTCCACCAGCAGCCTGTCGTTCGCCACAACTGCAACCAGATAAGCCCTGTATTTAGTCTCATACCCCACATTCCCTACCTCGGCCCTCAGCTGCGCCTCCGATCTTCCCCCCTTCCAGTCCTCAAACTTCTTCATCTCCACCCTCGCCTTCGCGATTCCTTTGATCCTTTTCTCTCTGTTCTCCTTCGCCACCTCCAGCACATTCACCGCAGCCCTGGTGAAATGGTGATCGGGGCCCCATAGTTCCTTATTTGTGGTATAATGAGCAACCAGCTCTTCGCTACGATCGACAGCGTCGAATACTTCGCCGGCGAGAAGGGTTGCCTGGGTGAGTTCCGTTAGAAAAAAGGCGGTCGAGAGCGGGCACGGTCTCGTGCGCGCCACGCAGCGTCTGTAAAACTCCTCGGCGACGCGGACCGCGCACGAGAGGTGCTTGTGCGCCGTCATGTGCTCGAGGATGAGGCAGTAGAGGTTGCGGGTTTCGGAAGCCATGGAGCCGCGGGCGGACCAGTACTCTCGGAACTGCGCCCAGAGGTCGTCTTGTTCGGCGCGGTAGGCTGGGTCGTTGGGGTCCAGGTCGCTGTCGATACCGTAGTTGGGTGGAATCCAGGGGTTTATCTCGTCCAAGGTGAGTTTGTCGACGGTGATGATGCCTGATGCCGTGGTGGTGCCGCCTTTGATGAGGACGTCGACGATTCTGTCGATGTAACCTTTTGCGTCACTTGTGCTCAGCCAATTTTCCGTTTCGCGCTTCACCAGCGGAATGTGATCCTGGGCTGGCTGAGCTTCAACTCGGTCTTCCATGCCGTCGACATCCAGCCGAAAGTATGTGTTTGGGACGTTTTCGAAACGCCTCGTCATGTCGATATGGGCCTTTTCGCTGTTTCGTTTCTTGCCATCTTTTGCTATGTCGAAGCGGTTGGCAATTTCTCGGGAGCCTGCCCCGAGGCTCAACACGCAACCAACCTTGGCTGTGTTGTCCAGGACTTCCGTTGCCTCGTCAAGCACTTCCCTTATCGGGTTCTTGAAGTCCCTGGTATCGTCGAAGGGGAACCGTTGCCGGTCCTCTTTGTGCTCTATCGAGATCGCGGCCCACCTTGCAGCTTCAAAGATGGTCATGGACTCCAGTTGGTTGGGATCCTTGTGGCGGTAGGCGCGTATGCGTCGTAATGAGTGATCGGCTCGTCGCGCAACCACGAACGTCTTCCCGGTCGAACGTTCGCCCTTGTCGTCTCTCATCTGATCGCCGTCTTTGCGGCCTTTCATGACCTTCTTCATTCCTTGCTCGACCTTTTCCTCTCTGAAAGCGATGTTGAATTCAAGCCTTCTCTTGGCGGTACTGAAGATCTTAGTGGAGATGTTTTCGTATCCTGTGAGAGCTTCGGTAGTCGTCATGCGAAGCCTTCCGAGAAGGAGAGCAGCGATTCTGGATGCCGCAGTTAGCGTTATGTCTAGTAGTAGTAGTGCTCTGAGACACTCACCCTCCGGTGCCAATGCCTCCAATCAAATGGAAGTAATCGCATGGTTTTGGAGTCTCCGCGAGGCCTTGCTTCTCTTGGATCCTTTTCATGATCCTGTCGAGTATCATGACTTCTGACAAGACACGGACTCCTCCGCCGTCTGTATAAAGAGGCTCTATGGTTAGCCATGTGAGTATATGAGAAGAGTAGCCAAGGAGGTTCTTACCCAGCGAGAGGATATTGAAGACCTCATCATCAGAAGGCATTGTCTTCAAGCTTGAGACTCAGTACATTGCAAGGACGTGATGATTCAACGATTCCGATGAACATGACATGAAGACTGTGCCTGAAGCTTTTGGGTGTCAGGATGTCAAAGATATATAGACTCAATACGCCAACAAAGGGTGATAAATATAGACCACGGTTGAGTTACATATATGCAACCATGTCTATCCCAGCGCAGGGGAGGAGTGACGGAGAGGAAGGCCATCCGGCCGATTTCCAAGCATCATGAGGTCTGCTCACTACTGTTAGCCGCAATCCAAACGCTCAATGAATCATACCACACCTGAGTTACAAATCTTGACCAAGGCCTTTAGGCCCATCTTCTCCGGGGCGCGTACCTCCTTCGGAACGTGAGAGATGTTCAATTGGACGATTGGTGATGGAAAAGGTGGAAGCATGAGATCCCGGTCGATGCGGGTTGGCGCTTCTGTCACAACAAGCTTTCTCAGGGGGGGTTTCAGGGGTGTACAGCGCGCACAGTTACAAACACGGTGAGCTTCTTCGGACGACAGCGGCTCGTCCCGCTGAAGAATAGCGGACGGGATGAAAGAGCGCCCTGGGGCTCCGGCAACGGACTTTTCCCCATCCCCCAGGCACCGCACTTCTTTCCACTTACACACAAGTTCCCGTCCCATATTCCACCCAGATATCTTCATCACGACTACAACAAAAACACTCCATCCAAAAATTACCCGAAACCACCATGATAACACATTGGAAAGGTCAACAATACCTTGGAAATGCCTTCTCGACAAGATTCTCCCCGACTTCAGTGACCCGACCCCATACCAGTGCCACCCCCGCCAACGCTTACTGTGCCAGCCGCGGTACCATGGGGCGCCCCCTCCCTACGGTTCCTCCTATAATGTAACGCCGCGGCTATGCCCAGTGGCTTTTGGACGCCTTAACCGGACGCCTTAAGCGCTGACGGTTTCGATTCGACGACCGCCGGGCTGGCTAGAGCGACTGTGTGATCCGCTAGCGCGACTGTGTGTGTCACGGAATGCACTCGGGTGCCTCTTCCAGGACAAACTATATAAGACCACTTAAGCGACCGAACTGCCAGCTTCGGTTACTTGTATCCTTTTGGAACATAGCCTAGTGGTGTAGTGGTCCGCCAGCGCCGTGACATTATTCAATTTTACTAGTTTCTTTTCCTGTTTTGTCCTAGATGGCAGGAGAGAGAAATTCCCTGCACTTTCATAAACTCGATCCATTGAACATCAACCATAGCATCCTCACCACAGTTAAGACGTTCCTTCCTCAAAGCTACGATGCCTCGACGACTGCGCTCATGGTTCCAGACGCATGTTAAGCGATACAGAAATACGGAGGATAGGAAAGGCTCTAAGGACCAAGAACAGTCTCGCCCTGCACCTCTGCTCAAGTTGCCGACGTCTACACAGCACATCCCTGCCACTCCCTCTACGTCCACCTCCCGACTCCCAGTCACTCCGACTACCGGTTCCATCAATATAGAGACGTCCACCCCACGGTCCCCAGCCGCTCCGGCTACTGGTTCCGCCAACATAGAGACGTCCGCCGGCGCGGATGACACCACTGTTCATTTCCTAGCCGCTTCGGCTACCAATCCCACCAACACAGAGACTCCCGCCAGCACAGATGACACTACTACCAGCTTGCCTGTACGACTCTGGGACCGTGCCTATAATGAGCTTAAACAAGAAGAGGTCAAATTGGTGGACTCATATGAGAAGATACTGTCCCGACAGCTACAGGATGGCCCCGGCTCAACGGTGCCCGAGTCCCAGTCGAACACCATCGCCCACAACACCTTGGACAGGGGCTGCCAAATGACCCGGCTTATCAATACTGGCCTAATTAAGACTGAGAGAGAGGTCAAGGTGAAAGAGAGCCTTGGCGTGGCCGT